CATCATTGATGGCATCAAGTATGGCGGCGGTAGTGAGGTTGGCCCAGGATCAGACATTGTTTCGTTTTGCTGTGCATGGGGTCGCTATGAGTCGGTTTCGACTCGATGGCACCTGACAACAACAACAACTTTAAAGGTACTTCTCACACATTTTACTAGAAGAAATGCAAAAATAAAGAATAAAAACAGAACTACAAAAGAAGTGACAGACTATCATCTGAACAACAAATGATTATGTTAAACATAACCACCAATTCTACACTGCTGGCCTCTGGCTGGGGATACTAATAAAAAGGAAACTGGACAACTTTAATACATTCTGTAACAGCTGGGGGAAAAGAAGGAAAAGTGAATGTAAGAATAAAGGTACTCTAGTTTCCAACGTATTTCTTCACCATGAATATAGAAAAAAAAGAAATGTTTGAAAACTATAAATGCTTCAGATGTGAGGTTTCAAAATCTTGTAAAAACACAAAATTTAGGCCAGTGATTACCAAGCACTGTAAGATAAGGACAAGAATGTTAAACATAATAATGTTAGCGGTTTAAACCCAATAGTCACTCCTCGGAAGCTCTATAGAGTTGTCATGAATCAAAAACCCACTCAATGGGGCTTAACAACATAGCAGGAGGAGGACCCATTAGGCGAAATGCTTCTCAAACTACTAAAATAATTAGGGTTGTCTGTCCTTACATTAAGGAGTCCTGGTGACGCATATGTTGGGCTTCTAATCACAAGCATGAGTAAAGCATGAGATCCCTACCTAGAAAAGCAACAACAGTAGAAACAAGGTCAGTAGTTCTAATCCACCAGCCACTTTGCAAGAGGAAGAAGAGGCTTTCTGCTCCTGTAAAGATGCACAATCCTGGAAACCCTACATAGTATTGCTATGATTCAGACCAACAATACTTGTCTGTCATACTGTGGTTACCTGCATGTTGCAGTAATGCAGGAAGCTATGTCACTAAGTATCTTAAATACCAACAGGGTACACAGTGGAGAGGCTTTAGTTGAGTTTCCAGACTAAGACAGACTATGAAGGAAAGGAAAGTACTTTTAAATGTTTAATCACTGGCAACCTTACGAATAGCAGTGGAACACTTGTTAGCAAGCACCAGAACACTATTGAAATGAAGAGCTCCAAAACATTGTTAGATACAGTGCCAGATGATGAGCCCCTCAGACTGGAAGAAACTCAAAATACAACTGGGAAGGAATTGCCTCCTCAAAGTAGAACTGATCATGATAACATGAAAGGAACAAAGCTTTCAAGACCTTCTTTTGCTGATGGGGCAACAAATCAAAATGAGAAAATGCACCTGTAAACATCTATTAATAATTGGAACGTGGGATATATGAAGTATGAATCTAGGAAAATCGGAAGTTGTCAAAAATGAAATGAAACACAAGCAGGGATCAGTGAGCTGAAATGGACATGTATTGGCTATTCTGAACCTGACAATCACATGGTTTACTATGCTTGGAATGACAAATTGAAGGGAATGGTGTCACAATTGTCAACAAGAACATTTCAAGATCTATGTTGAAGTATAATGCTGTCTATGATATAGGATAATATCCAAGACACCTATAAGGAAGACAGAGTACTAATTGTTGTTGTTGTTGTGAAATGCCGTCGAGTCAGTTCCGATCCATAGCGACACTGTATAGGGCTTCCAAAGATCAGCTGGTGAGCTTGAACTGCTGACCTTGCAGTTCAAACAGCTTTGCAGTCTGGTGCATTAACACACTGCACCACACCAGGACTCAACTCTTCAATTTCATGATCACTGGTTTTAGTGGTTGGTAACATAAATTTGAATAGTAGTAGCACTCTACTACTAAAAATTTGAATAATAAGAGTACTACTACTATTATTCAAATTTACACCAACTTCTTCAGTCTGATATTGATCAAACATGCAATCAAGATGTATTGATAACTACTAAGATTGGAATGCAAAGGTTGGAAACAAAAGGAAGGATCAGTACTAGGAAAATACGGCCTTGGTGATAAAAATGACGCTGGAAATCATGTGATGGAATTTTGCAAGACCAATGACTTGTTCATTGCAATTGGCTTTTTTAAACAACGTAAGAGATGACCATATACATAGACCTCACCAGAAACATAAACAAAAATCAAAATGATTACTTACATCTGAGGAAAAAGACTGTGAAAAAGCTTCATATCATTAGCCAAAACAAGTTCTGGGGAAGACTGTGGAAACTTGCTCATATGCTAGTTCAGGCTGAAGCTGAAGAAAATTAAAACAAGACCACAAAAGCCAAAATTTGACCCTAAATATTTCCTACCTAAATTTAGAGATCATCTCAAGAAAATTTAATGTATTAGACACTAATGACCAATGATCAAAAGAGTTGTGAGATGACATCACACAGGAAGAAAGCAAAAGATCATTAAGAAGACAGGCAAGAAGGAAAAGACCAAAACGGAAGTCAGAAAAGACTCTGAAACTTGCTTTCCAGCATAGAGATGCTAAAGCAAATGGAAGAAATGAGGAATTAAAACAGCTGAACAGAAAATCTCAAAGGGCAGCTTGAGAAAACAAAAACAAAGTATTATAATGAAATGTGCAAAGACTTGGAGTTAAAAACCAAAAGGAAAGAACACTCAGCATTTCTCAAGCTGAAATAACTAACGAAAAAATTCAAATCTCAACCTAAAATATGGAAGGATTCTATGGGCAAAATGGACTTCTGGTGTGGCATTGCCGGTTAATGCAGTAAACTGCAACGTCTGTGTGGGCGGTTAAAGCTGGCAGTTCTAACTCACCAGCTGCTCCTTGGAAAACCCTGTACAGGGTAACTATGAGTCGACCCATAACGACCCTGAATAGGGTTTCCGAGGAGCAGTTGGTGAGTTTGAGCCACCAACCCTGCAGCTCAAACAGCTTTGCAGTCTGGCACATTAACCCACAGTGCCACAATATACATATGTTAATTATCTGAACTTTAAGACAACATTATTAGGTAGATTCTATTACTATTACCATTTTACTGATGAAGAAACAAAGAACCAAAAAGGTAGAGTAACTAGCCCAGGTCACAAAGGTTCTCTGATGTCAGAGCCTGATTTCTTTTAACACAAATCTTAGTAATCCTCATAAAAGTCGTAATCGGTAAATACTGTCAATACTACTATTACAATCACTGAGCCTTAGAAGTTAAGCAACGTGCTTGGCCACACAGTCAGAAAATGAGAGAGCTGGAACTCAAATCACTGCTATATGGAGCTAAATGCCAAGGCTGACAGAGCAGCTTGTACAACCAATGATTAGCATAAGTGTTGGTGGAAACCCTTAGTGTCCTCTATCCATTTTGACACAGATTTTAACAAGGATATGTGCAGAATTAGTCCATAATCAAATTATTCAGAAAGACTAAACAATATAAAATAAATGAACTAATGAAAATGACTATAATCCAGAGTAATCACTCCCTAGATAAGCTACACATAACTGTAAATAGACTGTTAGTATCTTCTGACAATTCTCAATATATTTACATTGCTACAATTTCACACACAAGAAACATTTACTTCTTAGGAGTTTCCAAGTTCCACTTATAAATTTTGCTAATAGATTTATAATTTTTTTTTTACATTTTTAACCTAGCACAATTTCTAGGTTACTTTAAAAATGGCTATACCAAATAAAAGGAGTCCCAGTGGCAGTGGGTTAAGCACTTCACTGCTAACAAGATCAGCAATCCAAACCTACCAGTGGCTCCATGGGAGAAAGATGAGGCTGTTCGTTCCTATAAGGATCTAGAACGGTCTCAGAAACTTTATGGAATGGTTCTACTCTGTCCTAAAGGGTCACTATGAGTCAGAATCAACTCATCGGGAATGGATTTCATACCAAACAAAGTCGGCATCTGAAGTTTTACATTTCTGGATCCTGAGATTTTTTTAAATTATATATCACGGCTTATAACACTGTGTAATAAAGCAAATATATGGGATAACTGTAAAGAGTTTAAATTATTCTAAATATAAAAAAGTCTTACCTCCTTAATATTCAGAGGTCTTCCACTAAGATCATATTTGTTCATAGTTTCTAGTGCTTTCTTTACAAATTCGTCATCTTTGAATTCAACCACACTTAATGGGGAAAAAAAATTAATAGGAAATGCTTAAGTACTAAGATTTCTTTCCCCTAACCCGAAGTTTAAATTTGACTTGAGATTTTTAAATTAAAAAAAAAAAATTCTTACCCACAACCCTACATCCAGGTAGATTTGTCAATATATGTAAAAGAAAAAAGGTCTTAGATCAGTAGACGAAGTTAATGGCAGAGTCTAACATTTAAGACATTAAAAAGCAATCAATAACGTGATAATTTTTTTATGTTTTACATCTCCAAAACATAACAGGCAAGTGACCATCAAATCAAATCTTTATAAATTTTTAAAAAATCAATCTATTTCAGATCTTAGCATTTAACAAGCTTGAAGCACATTTTACGTTTAAGAAACCTTTCTTTGAGTCAAAATCAAAAGTAATTCAAAGAATTAATTAAGGTACCAAAAACTGAATTTACAAAATCACCAATATTTTCAAAAGATGTATTGTGTACAAATCATTTGATTGTGTACTCTGCAATTCTATTAAAATCAACATAGGAAATAAAGTTAATCTCATTTTTAACAAAGGAAATGGCTGCACACAATTTAACAGCATCCAGTTGGAAAAGCACATTAAAAAAAATATATATATATCCTGTGCTAACGAAACAAACTTGTAGAAACATTTTTAAAAAGCAACTTTTCATGATTATTACTGTTCAAAGTGCCACTGGAATGTGATGACAATGTTTTATATTTATTATGCACCCAACTGGTTTTTACTATTATAATTAACCATCTTTGAGAGCTTTCTTGTTTAAAAAAGAAAAATCTTCTGTCAATCAATTCCTTTTCTATCAATTTAATCGTAGGTATCATTCATACCAATTGGCCAAAGCACTGCCTCTTAGGTAATCCTGCAGGCTTCCATATTAAGCTCTTCAGTAATAGTTTCAACCATACCTTATGAATTAACACCTTTAAGATATAAGCTTCTCATAGAACTTACTCTTAGGGAATATTATCAATTCAGTCACTTTATGATATACTTAAAGGCATTGAAACACAACAACAAAAAAATCTTATGTTAAAATCTATTGGCTAAGAAGCATTAATTACCTTAGAGCATTAGAAAAGTGGAAAGCCCTTTATGGGCACTTAAGAAATCCATCCCTTTCAGGCAGCTAGTTTGCTTTGCATAAGTGTCAGACTTGCTAGTATAAAGCCTCAAATCTTGCATAATAAAGTAAAACAAAATGAAACTTAAGTTTCCAAAAACTGGTACAAGTATTATACAAAAAGTAAACTGCTGAGGAACTTTTAAACCTCTAGCAGATTATTGCCCACAGCACTTACCCTTGATTTTCCTTCCGCATCCTTAAAGAGCTCCACGTATGTAACCTCACCAACTACATAAGACATACAAAAGGAAAATACCAAGAAACAATACATTTAAACACCAATATCTTGCTTTACTGCACACCTGTGCACAACTCTACAGAAAAGCACCTATTATTCACCAACAATCAAAACCAGACAAACATACCTCCTATCAATGGCTATGTAAATTTAACTAATTTTCAGAAATGTACATCATCCACATTCTCTAAAAAAGCTAACAACAGTATTAACCTAATTCATAACTACAGATCATATTTGGCCAGCATGATATAGTTGGTGAACAAATACACATATACATACAAATGGTCCCTTAGCCTATCGTATTAAAAACATCAACATTAGCACTTTTCAAATAACTTTGGTCAGCCTACACACAACAGCTGTTTTAAGGTGACTTTCTACCTGAATGTCTTCAATCATGTTTGCCATCAGTAAACTAAATTTACAAGTCATGCTTCACAGCAAGCCACACACTTTCTAAATAAAGTCAATGAATAAAACCAATCAAATAGTTGTCACCTTACAACAGATACACCAATGCAAATATTTTTATTTATTAAAACAGCCTCAACGCCAAGTACGTATAATTTGCAGGAATGTTGACACTCAGTTTTTCAAGAAATAACAAAACTAACTTTTACAAGATCAAGTATTAAAATAATTTTCCCCCAAAACCAACTATATATATATGATGAAGGTTTTCAGGTTAGTCTGAAAACAAAACTGCAACAGCAGTAAAGCAAGTTGAATATAGAACTGCAAAGACAGCATCATGGCAGTCATGACAATGCAAACGAAATGAATTCCACAGCCAGATACTAGACTCCACCAAGGTAATAACAAAACAGCTTTTGGGGGGGAAAAAAATCAGACCTTATTAATCATACTTTAACACGCTAAGTATATTGCTTAACTGATGCAATAGTCCCTTTAAAAGTCTATAAAAACTTCAACAAGACAAAGCAATCTCTTTAGCAAAAATCTTGGTGGCATGCATATACTGGCTCTCGACTATCTCACTCAAATGGCAAAAAGAAAAATACTTCATTTATCCATACTACCTTGTAATGAAATTGTGTTGAGTGAAAGAAGAGGAAAAGATTAATTCATGTCAATAAATAAACCAAAAAAAATTTTTTTGAGTCTGTGGATAAGAATAAAAAAATCCATTCAGTTTCCTACCCCTTCTACATGAAGATTGTCCAACAGTGGGTTATTTCAGAAACAGTTACCTTTTTCTCTCATTAGATCTTTAATAGCTTGCCATTTCATGTCATATGGGATGTTGCTAATGAAAACTCTGTTACGATTTGGACCCTTCTTTTCTCCAGTCCCTGAAGTCTTGTCTCTTGAATAAGGATGAAATCTATTTGACTTCTTATTTCCTGTAGACTTTTCTTTTAAATCAGATTTCTCTTCTTTTACTAATTCATCATTCTCCCTACAAATTAAAAAAGAAAAAGTCAGTTGTGCTTCTAATAATGGCAGTCTATATTAAATATTTCACATTATCACTTCACAAAACACCTAAGGTTGTTGTTGCTGTTAATTGCAATCTAATCAATTCTAACACATGACAATACAATGTGTGTGCCATAGGAGTCTCAAGGCTGTGTCCTTTTGGAAGCAGACCATCAGGCCTGTGTCCACATGCCCATCTTTCAGCTTATACAGAACTCAGGAAATTCACCTGAGGATTAGCCTCCTGATTTTGAAGTTACTCAATGCCATTTCAATACACGGGTTTGAGCATATTACTGAACTTCCAAATTAACAATCCTCATCTTTTCCCATGTTGCATGCACATAGTTGCAGCATATAATTAATCATCAAGCTCTTCCTATCATACTTTTAATAAATATCATTAGATCCTAACAAAGAGGAAAGGAGCTCTGGTAGTGTAGTGGTTACAAATTGGGCTGCTAACCTCAGGGTCAACAGTTTGAAACTACCAGCTTTTCCCAGGGAGAATGATGTAGCTTTCTGCTCCCGTAAAGATTTATAGCCTCGGAAACCCTGTACAGGGTCACTGAGTCAGAACCGACTCCACGGCACATAACAACAACAACAAAAACGAAGATAATTTAATTCCTATGGTATAATAAAACTTTACCTGCAATGCAAAACTAATTTTCTGGGCCTCTTTTCTCTGTGAAAAATCTCATTTACAAAATATACCCTGAAAAAGTTAACCCATCTCTTAAACAGTGATGGTTTCCCAGAACTTAAATTCTTTCTCTTCCTCTTAGTTCACACGCACCATACACACGCACTCACTTAAGACTATCTCTAACTTTTTATCAACACAGAAAATGTAGAAAGTATCCTAAAGTTTTCATACTGAACATTTTCTATATATTAGTATGCCATTTTTATTAGCAGTATTACATATAGCTGGTGGGAGGAGGAAGCAGCACTTAAAAGGCATCACAAATCAAAACTTTACTAAATTAATTTTCAGTGAGGTCTTAACAAGAAAAAAAATTCATTCATAAAGTTGTAATCACATTGTATCTATATGATGCTATCTACTAACCACCCATAAGATACAGGTCTACACTTAAATCCTACAGATAAAAATCTGGATTTATCAAGAAAAATCCAATTTACTTTCCAAATGGAATCTTTTTTTAAAATAACTTAACAGCTTTCTTTTAGATCACTAATTATGTTAGTGAATTTAAAATACTTAATTTAAAAATTCAATTTTAGAGCAAATCTTCAGAAATATAAACTAATACAAATCTCTGGGAATGACATTCAGAATTCACTATTTTTAAAAAACTTACTCATTTAGTAATTCAGGCTGTAAATTATCTTTCAAGCCAAGCACTGTGGGCTTCTAAATATTTCAGTGTTCCATACACCTTATATTGCAGTCACTTGCTACTTAACACATTAAATTTTCTAGACATTACTATTCTAACAGGTAACAGCTCTATGTGAATAAGAAATTGATCTGCTTTGGTTTCATTAGCACCTAGTATGGTGATGGCCCACAACATGCGTTCAATAAATTACTGAATGAATGAATGGTCAATCAAGAACTTATATTCATCTCAGGAGCTATCTACCAGAAACACTGTTAAAATCAAAGAAGACTTCTAGGGCGAAATATACTTTACAACCATCTCAGACCTTGACAAGAATACAGTTCATCCTCCATATCCATGGATTCCTCAAAGGAAGTATAATGTGCCAGTTACATTGCATTACGTAATCTACTGATATTTAACATTTAAAATTCCATTATCTTTCAATTACATTTTTCCACACACTTTCTAAGTTCTCTCTTATACAGGAGAATGTGCATAGCTTATGTTGTTGTTAAGTGCCGTCGAGTTGGTTCCGACCCATAGTGGCTCTGTACAGGGTTTCCAAGGCTGTAAGTCTTTACACGAGCAGAAAGCCTCGTCTTTCTCCCGCGGAGCAGCTGGTAGTTTTGAACTGCTGACCTTGCGGTTCACAACCTGATTTGTAACCACTACACTACCAGAGCTCCTTATATGTAATGTTAAGCCATTTCATATAAGGATTGAGTATCTGAGGATTCTAGTATTCATGAGGGCTCCTGGAACCAAGCAATCCACGGCTACCAAGAAAAGGAAGAATGACTGTACTGTGAATGTCACAACATGCTCCTTCATCAGAAAAGGCAACGGCTTCGAGGAGTTTTCTCACTATTTAACTGTAGTAAGCACCTACCTGTATGATCAGAGTGAGACTTCTGATAACAGCAGCAAGCAACCAAAAGGCACAGAGGCTATAAGCACAAACCCTTCTTTTTAATCCCCCAAAGCTGGCAAAGTATTAAAAATAAAAATTTTTAAGCTATTTTATAAACATTCAATAAATTTAGCCTACTATATAAAATGCTTAAATCTCTATTAAAGATGGCAGATTCTATGAAGTCTCTAGCCAAACACTTCTCCTGTCTATTTTCTTCCTGGAAGAAAACAATTGTGAAAATTACACTATTAAAAACTATACTTGGGTAGTTTTGACGTTCTGAAGTACTGGCAATGTTCTTTTAATCTTGATCTGGGTGGGAGTTACAAGGAAGAAGTAAGGACTTGCCTACAAGAATCTGACAATTTCATTTAAAAAAAACAACAGCAATATATCTAACATACACAATTGTTGTTGTTGTTAGGTGCCATCGAGTCAGTACTGACCCATAGCGACCTTATGCACAGGAGAACAAAACACTGCTCGATCCTGGGCCAACCTCACTACTGTTGCCACGCTTGAGTCCATCAATGCTGTCACTTGGCCAATCCATCTCGTTGTGGGGGTCTTCCTCTTTTTCTCTGACTCTCCACCTTACCAAACATGATCTCCTTCTCCAGCGACATACACAATTAGACACTTTAAATGTTTACTTAAAAATGACTAAACATAGCAATTTCTTCAAGCATTCCCCAATTAGAGGGATCTTAAAACACTATTCTGTTCACCTTCACTGCAAAAATCAAGATTATCTCTAGAAACTAGATCAGTTTAGATAAAGGTATGGCCTGATTATCAAGATATTAAACTATAATTACTCAGTTTCTGAACTCTACTTCACAAAGACACTACAGAAGCAAAAATTTTTAAGTATGTAAAAACTCTTGGCATAATGTATTGGTACTATATTCAGAGTTTGCCAACTACTTACAATAGAGAAATTCCTCCTCTTATAATATTCTTAAAGGAGTCCTGGTGTGGCACTATGTGTTAATGCGCTAGAATGCAAAGTAGTTTTAAACCACAAGGTTAGCTGTTTGAGCTCTCTAGCAGCTCCTAAGAAACCCTATATAGGGTCGCTTTGGATCTTTACTGACTCATCGACACTTAACAACAACAATATTCTTAAAAGGAGCCCTGGTGGCACTGTAGGGTAAACACTGGGCTGCAAACCAGTGGCTCCGGGAAAGATGGGGTTACCTGCTCCTATAAAGATTTCCAGTCTCAGAAACCATATATAATAAGATCACTGTGAGTTAGAATTGACTCAATGGTAGTGAGAGGTTTTTTTTGGAGTTTTATGTACTTAATGCACTCAATACTTACCAATTTTATCTACTCTTGAAACGGAATTATGCCTATACAAAGTGCAACAAATTTCTAGGGGGAAGAACAAACTCCAACATCAAGTAAAGAAGCACACTTGAATGCATGATTTTAAAAGCATAATGCTACAGTATGAGATCCAAAATTAATTTCAGTTCCATGCTTGCTCTAATATGGTAATAATTACCACTGTACTTTTCAACACTTCGCCTTACTCCAATGCTTAATATTTTATACAAGGGTCAGAGAAAAAGAGGAAGCCCCCCCACCCCCCACCCCACGAGATGGAATGGCCAAGTGGCAGCATTGATGGACTCAAGCACAGCAACAGTAGGTTGGCCCAAGATTAGGCACTGTTTTGTTCTGCTGTGCATAGGGTCACTATGAGTCGGTACCAACTCAATGGCACCTAACAACCACAACTCAATATTAACTCTCAATCTCCAAGAAGCTGCTTAACCCTACAGGAATAATGTCATTATAACAATTGTTTATCCTCTGATCCACTCTTAAGAAAATGAGAACTAGTATACTATTTTGGCATTAAAGAAGATTAGGCCAAAGAAAACAGATCTGTAGTTTTTTTATCTAAAAGTGTGAACATAAATCTAACTAAATCCTTTGCTTATGAATCTTCGAGACCATAAAAGTTCACGTCTGCATTTCTTCAATATACAGGCCATTAGGCTGCTAACCACAAGGTCAGCAATTCTTGGGAGACATTCCAGCAAAGAAAAATGAAGCTATCTGTTCCTGTACAGATTTATAGTCTCAGCTATCACAATGAGTGGGAACTGACCCAAAGGGCAGTTGGCTGGCTTTGCTTTAGGCCTTTTTAAGTTGTTAGAACCCAGAGTATGAAGATAAAAAAAGATATAGTGGTCTCGATGTTCAGTGACTATGGAATAACTCAACAAAATCCATTTCAATCTTGATGACAAGCTGCATTCTGTTCACTTCTAAGAAAGAAATATATTTAAGGCACTCTTTGACCATTTTTTTTTTACCATCAATTAAAAATTCTTATCATTAAAAACATATGGAAATGAAAATAAATTTGATGAACTTGACCTATACTCATGGAGGTAGAAGATCCAAATACCAACAGAGAGGGAAGGAGTCTTCATATCAAGTATCAATGCTATCCCCTCTGTACACAAGGTAGGTAGGGACAGGCAACTTAAGATACTGGCTACCTAAAATGAGGGGGTGATAAAGGCACAAAGTGACTGGCTTACAAGGTTTCAAGAAGGTGTTTAGTTTAAGAGTGGGCGAGGGGGAAAAGAGTCTCCACTAAATAGCTTTCATCTTGTCTAAATAGGTCTGGTAAAAAGAGATAGGGGTAAAATTCTTATGATTTAACAGTAATTGTTATCATGACTAATTGTGGCTGTCATAATTGTAAAGATACAAGTTTTGTAACAAAAATGAGGGTGTAATTAATCTTATAGTCTAGAAACAGAGGACCCTAGGACCAAGGGAGAAGAGCACAAGCAGAATACGAGACCTTATCTAGCGAAGCAGTGACACCAGAGATGGAGGCAGAGACAGGGACATGGAAAGAGGGAGCAGCTGAGGACTCCAGATTCATGGGAAGAGAGGGACTGAGAGCTGGTGACCAGGAGGCAGACTTGCAGAATGTACCTTTTGGTGGTGTAAATTAATATATATGCCTGAGTGTTTTAAAAAATGAATAGAGAGAAATACTGTTAATTGACGGTACATGGAGGAGTTTTATAATCATTTAATGAAACAAGGTATATGATTTGTTGAATGTAAAACTGAAGATCTGCCCTGTAAACAAAATTCACAATAAAAACATAAAAAAAAAAATATGGTAGTCAACTGACAGTTTGTGCATTAGGATGACTACTCTTATGGGTTACAGCCCCCCCCCCCAAAAAAAATGTTATTTAGGGTATTTTTAATGTCCCTGATTACCTAATTATTCTGTTTGAGTGATCCATGCTACAACAGCAAATATTTTATGGACTAGACAATAAATCTGATCCAATAATAGATAGGTATCTGAAGTCCTGGTATGGCACTTTGGGTTAATGCGCCAGACTACAGAGCCGTTTGAACTACAAGGTTGGTCGTTCAAGCTCACCAGTTGCTCCTTAGAAACGCTACGTTGTTGTTAAGTGCCGTTGACTTGGTTTCCAAGGCTGTAAATCTTTGCAGGAGCAGAAAGCCTCATCTGTTTCCCGTGGAGCAGCTGGTAGTTTCAAAATGCAGACATTGCAGTCCAATTCGTAACCACTATGCTACCAGAGCTCCTTTGGAAATCCTATACAGGGTCGCTATGGGTCGGAACTGACTCAACGGCACCTAACAACAAGAACATCTCTATTTTGGGAGGAAGAGGATGGAAAAGTAACAAATTATAAAAAAAAAATATGGAAAGAATCTACATTCGAATTTCCTTTTCTTTGCCTTTGTCTCCTTTCTTTTTCTGCTTCAATATACACCACATGGACTCCTGGTGTGGCACTGAAGAATACTTAAGCATTGGACTATGCACCATAAGGTCGGTGGTTCAACCTCACCAGCCGCTCCTCAGAAACCCTATACAAGGTCGCTATTAATCAAAACTGACGTAAAGCCAGTTAATAATAACAAATATACCGCACAGAAGGCACCCTGTAGGAAAAGCACCAACTGTGTAGCAATGTACAGGCGATGCTAATACCTTAACCTGTTGTTGGTGTTAAGTGGTTGCTGAATCAGATCTTAAGTCTTTTCAATACCCTTTAAAGATGCATGTAGTAGAAAACTAAACCCAACTCACTGCCATTAAGCTGATTCCAACTCACAACAACTTTGTGTAGGGTTTCCTAGGCTGTATGTCTTTATGGGAGCAGAAAACCTCATCTTTCTCCTGCAGAGCTGCTGGTGGGTTTGAATTGTGACCTTGTGGTTAGCAGTCCAGTGCTTGTCCTACAGCATCATCAGGGATTCTTCTATGTTGTATATTTGTTGTTGTTTTTAAGTGCCTTCAACTCAGTTCTGACTCAAAACGACCCTGTATAGGGTTTCCAAGGAATGGATGGTGGATTTGAATTGCCAATCTTGTGGTTAGCAGTCCAATGCTTATCCTACAGCACCACCACACCAGGACTCCACTGTTAAACTAATCATACACTATTTTGTTTTACTACAATTACTATTTTATCAGGAGAAAATGGGTAAGGTGTCCATGTTTAGATACAAACTAAAAGCACATAATTATTCATTTGTGATTTTTCATTCCTGTTTATGAGGCCAAATTCATGAAATCCCACCTTTTAGCAAGCGTGGCAGAAAGCAGTTGGTTCACTTTCTGGTTCCTAAATGAGGTGTACCTTTCCATTTAGGCACAAACTTCACAGCTCTCCAATCTCTTACACCTGCATCCCTGCACTGCCTAAATGAGGTCCTAGTCACAATCACTTCAGAGCAAGTGTGTGAAGCCCAGGATGGGAGAACTACTCTCCCTTACCTGTAATCAACTACCATTCCGCACTGGTCCAGGGCTTAAGGGACTATTTCAAACATTTGTATACAAAGGAAAAGTCAGAATACTACTTTCCTTTTCCATTTTAGTGTGAGCACATGTTTACTGTTTTCTGCTCTGAAGAATCATTAAGAGATGGAAAGAATTTTTCACTAAATTATTCGTGCACTTTCAACTTCTGGTTAACTGGGCTTGGCATATGAAAACAAATGCTTGACTTCGTATCCCTCCACATGACAAGAACAAAGGGAAGCAGTTTTCATAACATTTCCTTAAAACTAGAAATGACTTCAGATTGGAACCAACTCCATTCCTCATAGGCTTTGAGGGCCGCTGCAACCTTAAAAGTAGTGGGTTTTCTTCCATTTTGAAAAGAAATTTTATTTTACCATTATATCAAAATTAAGAGCGTATCATCATCACACGCTGAGCTTTTTAAAGCAGCCTGCACAGCTGACAAACATTACATGGCAGTGAGGGCGGGGGCAGCAACTCACAAAGCACATTTCCCTATTTAAAAATACCCTTTAGCCAACTCAAGGGAACTGGATTCGGTCTAATAGCAACACTATTAAACTTCTTTTCCGTATCTATCCATTTGTGGACGAAAACAGACTTCAGAAAACAAACAACTAAACGCTGGATCTATAAAGCTCAGAGTGAGGCCAGAGAGCTGGGGTTCCCAGTGGGGAAGAGGAAATGTCCGATGATGTCACTCCTGGATACTCCCTAGTGATGAACACTAACTACTGGCCTTTCAAAGAGGGACCGTTTTCCTGCAAACCGTCACACGGCCGCAGAGCTTGGCTCAAACCTTCTCCCGCTCAAATCAGGGAAGAGGGGGTGACCCAGGGCCCCGGACTAGCAATCCAGGAGGGACGCCGGTCCTCCGACCCCAGGCCCCAATCAGCCCGACCCACAGAGTTAGGACCCGGGAGCGGCCCGGCTACACCTGCTCCTCCCGCAGCCGACGGCTCCGGGGCGGGACGGGGCCTGAGGGCGCGCGGTCCCCCCACTGAGGCCCAGCCCGGCCCCGGGGGCCCGAGGCCGAATCCCCGCTCCCCATCTCGCCCGGGTCCCCGGAGAAAAAGACAATACATTTTAACGCCATTGGAGCTGCTGGGGTGTGACTGCTGCTTCTCCTGCTCGCCCGGCGTCACCGCGGGCTGCTGTTGCGGGCTGTCGTTGCCAGCGGACCCAGACACCTCGGGCTTGTCGGCGTCCGCCATCCCAACGCCGCTGCCTCTGCTGCCTGCACTGAGGTGCTCCGAGCGCGACAATGGCGGCGGCCAAGGAAGCGGTAACGGATCCCGATTTGAAAAGGCCCCGAGCGCTCAGCCGTCCGGATCTCGCGAGATCCGGTCGGGACTGGGCGACTGGGAGATGGTGTGAGCCGAGCGCGGGGGGTGGGAGTAAGGTGTGGGGGAAGGGAGGGACGGGGTGGTGGGTCAGGGCCGCCATTGCTGCGCCGCCCTTGCTGTAGCGGGAAGAAGACTAGCGCTTCCTTAAAGCCCACAGTGGGGTCACGTTCTGACTACAAGCCCGGCTGCCGCTTGGCGTCCGATGGGGTCTTCGCCTACAAATAGTCGTCCTAGGGTTAGAAATCTTTGGCTGGGGCAATTTAAGTTAAAGAAATGCATCTTTGAAGACATCTGCAAATCTTCGGATTCCCCTTGGAACTTCAGTGAATAATGCTGTTAAATCATTCGTGACTTCTGATTCAAATGCGAAGACACCCAGTGAACATTCAACAGTCATTGATGATTGGTTGCAGTTCACCAGGGTGAATGGTTTTGAATTTCTTTGAGATCTGGCGGATCCTAAGAGTGAAGCTTTTAGTGGAACTCAGCTATCTGCCTATCAAAAAAAAAAAAAAATTTTTTTTTTGAAGCTTTTATTTCTTTCGGTAGCAATGGTGAAAATCTATAATTTTCTTAACCAATCTTCTGCTAGCTTGGCTAATAATGAACATTTGGGGATTTGATTGTATGCTTACTATATGATGATGAAAATTATAAATGAATCAGTTATAGACTTTAATCTTAGTTACTGTATGGAGTTTTAAAATATACAGTAAAAAACAAACCAACAAACAAACATGGATTTTTACCGTAAGTATGAAAAAGAAGCCTATTAAACTTAAAATCAATTCCTAACTCTGGAGGAAATAGAACTATGAGCTCTGGTGGCGTAGTGGTTACCAATCGGGCTGCGAGCCGCAAGGTCAGCAGTTCGAAACTACCAGCGGTTCCGCGGGAGAAAGATGAGGCTCCCGTAAAGATTTACAGCCTCGGAAACCCTGTGTAGGGTCACTATGAGTCGGAACCGACTCCACGGCACATAACAACAACAATATTTCACAGTGAAATCACCCTTTTCAGCTAGAGTTCAAAGACCCTAAATATTTCTTTTCACAAGGAAGCAAACATGCATGGGTCATGCGCTTTGCTGAATACCAGACATGTTGGTTTTCATTAAAAATAATATTCAGGTACTAAGCACATCATTTCCTCAACTTCTCTCCCCCCCTCCCATCTTTGGTTATTTCAATATGTAAATTCCTGCCCCCTCTACTACAAAATAGCATAAACCAACCAATCCTATTTCTGAAGGGTTGAACTGTTAGATCAAACACACCCACAGAACAATTTTAATCATAAAGAGAATACATATATAGCAAAATACAGTTGTTAGGATGTTGCCTACATTCTATTTCATAGACACAACTGATGCTTTTGTAATTGTTATATAGACTGTTTCCCATCAATCAGTCCTGGAGTAACAGATGGTAGTTGATTTTGAGATAAAAAACCTGGATTAGGATCTCAGCTCTGACACTTCCTGCTTGTAACTCCTCTGGCAAGTCTCTTAACTTCTCAATCCCTCCACAATAAATATGTATAATAATACCTACCTTGAAGGATTAAGATGAAGATTAAATGAAAGCACTTTTTGTAAGGCTAAGTGCTACAGACATGTAAAGTAGCATTGGTTAGAATTCATAGTTGTCCAAGCTGGTCAGGGTTTTAGTCAAAGAGAAAGGAGATCTTTTCCCCATAGCGCTGACTTTTAACTACTCTGAAAACATAAATTGAATGATGAAAACTTAACCCCTCAGTCCCTAGTATACTCTTGCAAAATCCTTGAACAGATTGAATTCATCATAGATTAAGAAACAAGCCGTTATGCTTAAAACAAAGTAGGCAAATGAGAAATTCAAAAATGATTATTGTTCTGATGGGTTGTTGTTGTTAAGTGCCTTGGAATGGGTTCCAACTCCTAGGGATCTTGTATAGGGTTTCCCAGGAGCAGCTGGCTACTTTGAAACACCAAACTTGCAGTTCAAATGACATTGCATTCCAATGCTTTATCCCACAGAGAGCTTTTCGAAAAAGTACTAGTTATGTGCTGTAATAAAAATAAAACTTAAACGTAGTTAAAACTGTACTTACAAAGACAGGAAGCAGTTTCACATACCAGTAGGTGCCAATTTGATTTTTCCTTAATCTTACATTGAAATATTATTTGTCTTAGTTGTTGAGATTTTGGCACTCCTTTAAATTTTGTGCCTGAGACAAATGTCTCTCTCCTCATACCCTATGTCTGTTGTTGTTAAGTGCCGTCGAGTCCGTTCCAACCCATAGCGACCCTGTACAGGGTTTCCGAGGGTGTAAATCTTTACGGGAGTAGAAAGCCTCATCTTTCTCCCGCGGAACGGCTGGTAGTTTCGAACCGCTGACCTTAAGGTTCGCAGCCCGATTCATAACCACTACGCTACCAGAGCTCCTTTACCCTATGTCTACACCTGATAAATACATAGAGAAAATGTTAGTTCCTATGGAATGAAATATTGGTAGTCAAAGACAGACTTCATAGAAATGCTGGATCTTAAAAGATAGGGGAGAATTGAGACAGTTCCTGATAAAAAGAAAATGATTTCTCCTTACCACTCGTATCTCCATTGTTCTGTACTTTAGTTGCTCCTTCTTTTGCCACTAATGTTATATTTACCTTAGTTAATTCTGAAAATAAACATATATATATTTTAAAACTGTTAAGATGCTACGTTGCAGGTAAAAGACTTGACGTACAAAGGAAAGAAAGGAAATTACTATAGTGTATGCTTTTTGTCAGAGGATGTGAAGGTGATTCGAATGAAGTTTTAGGATTAATGATGAATTTTAACTTGTTTCTATGATTACCTGAAGAAGACTGGTATTGCATAACTCATTTGGAAATAATTAATCAGATGAATATATGACATAATCCATAGGGAGCAGTAAAGGAGTCATAGGAGCAAAAAAAAGAAAAGATTCTACGTTGAATTCCATTTCTGTACTGTTATTCTTTCTTCTCTTTTTTTCTCAGCTGAGTACACTGCCCAGGTTTCTGTTACGGAAGAAGAGAAGGAATGTAGAAAGGCAGCTAGGATGTCATCATTTTCCTTCATCTTTAAATATTAAGAGGCAAAGAATGATACTATGTAATAAAACAAGAAGTATACTTGGGTTTTCTTCAGTCCATTCGATTTTATTTATAGTAAATGCCTGAATTTGGAGCCACTAAGTTTGGAAGTTTTCGAGAGTTAGAGATTTAAAAGGTTATATATAGCTTTAGAAATATGACAGGGCTTTAAAAAATTTATGGAAAAGTGGAATTATAAAATCAGGAAATATGGGTTAGATTTGAGAACCATGTCTATTTTCTCTTTTTTCCCCTAAGAAGTTTATTCCATGATTTAAAAAAAAAAAAATGGATGCTGGTTATTGTTACTAGAGAAAAGAAAAGTGTAATCTTTTCTAGGGAGTGTGGTAGCTCTACAGGATAAGCATTGGACTGAGAAACGTAAGGTCTGCAGTTTGAGCCCACCAGCTGTTCCTCAGGAGAAAGATGAGCATTTCTGTTCCTGCAAAGATTTAAAGCCTCAGAAACCCTATCCAGGGTCACTTGAAGGCACTTAACAATTTTACTATCTGGTGTGGTGCTATGTTAATGCGCCAGACTGCAAAGCCAAGCCATTTGAACTGCAAGGTAGGCAGTTCAAGCTCACCACCTGCTCCTCAGAAACCCTATACAGGGTCTCTATGAGTCAGAACTGACTCCACGGCACTTCACAACAACAACATTCTGATGTGGCAGGAGTCCTGGTATGGCACTGTGGGTTAATGTGCTGGGCTGCAAAGTTGGATTGATATGCAAGTTTGGTAGTTCAAACTCACCAGATGCTCCACAGAAACCCTATACAGGGTCACTATAGGTCAGAACTGACTTGATAGCAAGCACACAACAATATTCTGATGTGGTACTGAAGGATAAGTACTAGACTGCAAAATTGGTTTGAACTGCAAGATTGGCAGTTCAAGTCCACCAATGCTCCTTGGAAACCCTATAGTGGGTCGGTGTGAGTCGGAAGCACCTCAATGGCATGCAGCAAAAACAACAATTCTGACAATCAACTATTGCAAACGACTTAATATTTTCCATTCTCCGTGTTATCTCTCTATGTCTCTCCTACACCCTTTTCTATTGCTCTGCTCATTTTAAGAATTCATTTTGGGGGCATTTAGCTTTCCAAAAAGGCATCCTATAGAAAGGTCTTCACCAGATAAGTGAAGTTTATAATTAAGGCAATTATCTGAAATTTTCAAGTAGAAACTCCATTTTCACATCAATTATTAAAATAATTCAGATAATACCATAGGATCTGCTTGAATTCATTAGATAATTGTTTCACCTTTCAACCTTAAATGTGTTTTCTTGCAATAACAGATTTTTTTTTCTTTTTTTAAATTATAAGCCATATTTGGGACAGGATTTTTTTCCTTTGAAGAATAAAGACTTCTATAATTCCCTAAATTTTGAGTATCAAATTTCTAGTTTATTAATGTAAATCACTGTTCCTTTTTTCTCAATTTCACCCCAGTATTCCATTAAAAGGCTTAGTAGAAAGGACAAATTTCCAGGAATGCTATTTTCCTGCAAGTGCAGCTGCCCCTGCCGCTACCATCACCTCCACCACCTCCGCTACCCAACCCTGACTTTAATTATCTCTAGGAGTTGGGCCATTTCTGTCTAAAGCCAAGACTATTTATTGTGTGGTAATCTTTTTGTTTGTTTGTTTTGTTTTTTGTTTTTCTTAAATGTTTTATTGTGAATTATGTGATAGTTTACATGGGAGAACATTAGTTTTACATTCATTCTATCAGATATCCTCTCATTGCCATGGTTACAATCCCCTCCATGCAATCCTTCCCCCGTAACCCCCAGGTCTTCAGCA